AATGATTTTGGGAAGTTTGCATGCCTCATCATTAATCGCACCATATCTAATAATGTGCGGTTTCTCCATTCTGATACACCATTATGCTGCGCTGTACGTAGCGGAGTCCACTGTGAGAGAATTTCATTCTCTTTTAGATAATCTAAAATTTCTCTTTTTAGATATTCTCTACCTCGATCTGATCTTAGTGTGAGAAACATTTACCTATTTGTTTATCTACTTCAAGGTTGAATTCCTTGAACTTTTCAAGTGTTTTATGATTGAACTTCATCAGAAATACATAACCATATCTAGAATGATCATTAGTAAATGTGATGAAGTAAGAGAAACCACATCTAGTGGTGATTGACATGGGTCCACAGACATCAGTATGTATTAGGCCCAATAACTCTATGAAACTTGNTTATTTTCTATACTCATGATAGACGACTCAGTATCAAGAATAAAAATGCCATTTTGTAAAACACCACAACCATAAAAGATCTCATCTCGATAAAGGGAACAACGATTGTTCTTAATATTAATTGAAAAACCACGCATGTCCAAACATGAAATAGAAATAATGTTTTTAGTAATGGCGGGAACAAAATAACAATTTTCTAATTCTAATACTAAGCCCAAACATAATGGTAAGAAATATGTTCCCACAGTTAATGCAATAACTCTTTCTCCATTCCCCACGTGTAGGTCAACTTCTCTTTCTGCAGTGATCCACTTTTCTTTAATCTTTACATATTTAAATAAATATGAGATCTACATCCGATATCTAATACCCAAGAAGCTAATAATGTAAACATATTAATCTCGATAACAAGTATACCTAAAGTTGAAGCTTTAGAAGAATTCTTTCCCTTTAAGCTTGCGAGGTGAGCCTTGCAGTTCCTTTTCCAATGAATTTTCACTCCACAGTAATAGCACATGTCATCAGACTTTGTATTGTCCTTGTTTGCTTTGTCTGTTTTATTATTTGTTTTCACTTTCCGATGAATGTTTTCTTAAAGTTAAAACTTCATTTAGTCTTTCTATTAGGCCTTTGGGGGATTGAATGACTAAGACTTGCCCACTACTAGCCTTGACACTGGACTCAATAGTCTTAAACAAGTTCAGTAACTGAGGGACTATGCACTCGAGCTTATTCATGTTGAAATTCATTGAATTGTTAACAACTCTTTGGTGGAGATTGCAGAATCAAGTCAACACTTAGTTCATTGTCCATTATTGAATCCAATTAAGCTATCTTCTCAATAAAGAAAATCATTTTTAGTACATGAGCACTAACTGAAAATCCTTCTGCTATTTTGCATCGGTATAGTTGCTTAAAAGTCTCATATTTCTTCACAAATGATTGTTCATCATACTACTCCTTGAGATGAAAAATTATAGTGTAAGCATCCATAACCTCACTTTTGCAATATAGGTGACATAATTACAAATATCACACATGCTGCGGTATTATTGTCATCACTATATTTATTGTAATCAACCACATCTTCCTCAGTTGAGTCCTCAGTAGGTTCTCTGGAACGGGTTGCTTGAGTCGAAATTTTTTTGGCTCGATCAGTTTGTTGGCATCCAATATGTCTCTGAAATTCATATGATCATGATTCAAAATATAGTTAATGAAGAAAAGTAAAGAATTAATATGTATTAAAATGCATTACATAAATTTAATATGGATTTTAATTAAATTAAATATTCTCCCATTGTTTAAAATAAATTTATAACCCTTACAGACAAATTAATAGAATCCATACTAGATTCTCACTACGATGTGATCTGATTGCTATCTTAAGATCATAAGTGTTCTCAGCAAACCTTATTAAAATATTTGGGTAGATACTATTATCAATTATATCTCCATACAACTCCCAAATCATTACAACTTTTTGTCTTTACATATCTTATGTGTTAGCTAACACGCCTCTAAAATTTATCTCCTTGAGTGTACTCATCAAAAGATAAATTTTAATTAAATCTAACATATCATTTAGAAATATCAAATATTTCATAATGTCAAACATATCCCTAATAGACCAATTTTTAGTGTACTCAACAAGTTGAGATATATATATATATATATATATAGGGGGTATTGCATTGAATTAGTATCAATACACAATCTCCATGGTTTTCTCATCTTCTTGCATCTTCAATTAATCCAGCTACAACCTGTATTCATACTAGTTGGCACGCAAACCTAAATGAAATTGGACTCACAAGCCCATAATAACAACAATAATAATGGACTTGCATGTCAAAAATATATTAAGAGCTCGCAAGCCCATAAAACAATAATAATAATGTTAACCATTCAACACATTCATATAGTTGAATCCATAATCATCTACTAAGTAAACATTCATCAATAATGCATTTCTATGTAATATCTAATATTATATCCAAGCATGTTTCAAAAATCTTGCAATAATAGTCGTTTAAACCTATTTAGATAAATGGATTCGAAAACGATTAAATAATTAATTAATCAATTAAATTAATGAGTGGGTCAATTCAATTAAAATCAAATTTTAATTATTTAGTAGATTAGAATTCAGCTCTAATATAATTGGACGGGTTAATATAATTAAAATCAAATTTTAATTAATAGTCAAATTAGAGTCCAACTTTAATTCTAATTGAATTATTATTTTAATTTATGGTGAAATTTCTAAATAAAATAAAATTCAATTCGGGGTCAAAGTTTAATATTTGAGTTAAAATCAAATTTTAACAATAATATAAAAGTCATCAATTTTAAATAATATTTTAATTGGGTCAACTTTGAATTTTGGGTCAAAACCCATTTTAAATTTAAACTAAGAATCATTTTAATATTTAAATTCAAAATTATTTAAAATTTGCAACATGACTCGTGTATTAAAATAAAAAGCAGGTCCTTCAATTTTGAAAATTGCATGACATGTCCTTTACTTAAAAATTGCAATTCGACACTTAAACTTTAATTGTAGGTGATGGCCTATAATTTCATAAATTGTAGCCGTCTCTCACCATAAATCTACGGTTTGGGTGGGTGGCCTCAGCCTACCTATTGCAGCTGTCTCTCACCGCTTGCAACAGCCCCAGAGTGCTGTTGCTTTTGTGTAGCTAATTTTTAGTGGCGACGAGCCTGCTGCAACACGTAGCGGTGCTTGTCGTCGTGGCTTTTTTTTTTGCAGCGACATATCATCGCAAAGGCCTCAAGCGCATTGCATCTGCATGTAACAACAAACTACCATAGCTCACTGCGACACAATTGCTGTCGACAGTCATTGCCATCCCTTTTTCCTTTCGATCCAACTTTTTTACGAAGAAAATTAATTTTTCCTTCAAAACAGATTTCAAAGTTGAAAAGTAATTTTCTAAATTTCTAAATTCAAGGAAAAACACGAAAAATAGTTTTTAGTAATCACAAAGTAGACTTTGATATCACTGTTGAGAATTTATTTAATCATACACAGCGGTCAATAAAGCAAATATCAATTCCCATCAAGGATTTGATTTGTTTTTAAATATGAATTCCTTGAAAAACAATTTTGATATGCAATCAACAACTTTCCAATTATTCATTCTCCAATGAAAATTCACACAGAGAACAAAATTGAGAAAACTAGGATTTTTCTTTTCTTGTGCTACCAAGAGTATAATTGTATTGCGTTATGAATTTTCAAATCATAGCAGCCTATTAATAAAAGTCTAAGTGGATTTAGCCTATCTCTTAAACTTAACTCGGTCCAATCCAATTAATTAAATATGGTCCATGAATTAATTAATTTGGGCATATTAACAAGAAATCCAATTAATTAGTTTTTCAACACTTGTTAATTAATTAATTAGTGAGTCTCATTATTCTAATTCACTTTTTTTGTGTGAGCCATTAAGTTCCCGATCGCAATACCTAACGACGTGAATTACTATTTTGATCTAATCAAAATCGATAAATTAAAATACCCATTTCAAATTCACATTCGTCGTCTCAGAATGATATCTAGCAATTTGTTAGTACAATTCACGTGACGAGAAATATTATTACTTACGACTACGAATGATTTAAGATTCAGTCCAATGTTATTTGTATATCACAATCACAACTTTTTGTGATTAACAAATGACTAAGCCCCTGTTTGGGCTCCATTTTACCAAGAAAATGCATTTTAGAATAGTCAAAAGTTGGAAAATGTGTGATTGAAAAATAAGAAAAAGTTTTAGTTTTGAGTGTAAAATTATTTAATGGAAAAATGTGTGGTTGAAAATGAATGTTAAAAAAATAAATTTTGAGAATAATGGGGCTCAAACAAGGGATAAGACTTAGCCCCTATATGAGTTACATTAAAATTTTCATTCTCATTTTTCTACTCATTGTCAACCAAAAATTTTTCACATTAAAATTTTCATTTTCATTCTTTTACTCATTTTCAATCACACATTTTTCAATAAAATGATATTTTCCATCACATCAATAATTTTTCCTTCTTTTTCAACCACACATTCTCCATCAATTTACTATTCTAAAATACATTTTTTCAAAATAATGTGGCTCAAACACATCCTTAAATCTAGGAACTCTATTATTTAATATAATTTATTAGAATAGTAATTCAAATAAATACTAGATCTTGCCAAAATAAATGCATTAAACATATTAAAAGTGTTTACTAATTAATCAATTGGATTTAGGGCATAAAACTTAACACATTTTGCACTCAATGTTGTCCAAGTGTTTGAATGGGTATTGGCCTTCCCCACTTTATGCTGGTCGGCCTCTTCACAAGGCTCGGCCACTTCCCAAAAGGCCAGCCTCATCATCCTTGTTTTGTTCACGTGGCTCTTATGAGACATTTCTCCTACATCGGAGGCATCTAAGATGGAGTCGCAACGATAATCTCCAAAGTCCAAGATTTCATTAATCTTACATTTTAGGACACGTCCTTGGTTGTGGTTTGTTGTTAATTTGCTGTATGTTGGGAATCTTCATGATTTGCACTTCAACCTTATATTGTATACTAGGAATTCCCATGCCTTGATGTGCTTTGGAAGGCCTCATGCCTTGATGCCTGGACTCCATGTAATCAAATAATTCTCCATGTAAGGTGGAGGCGTAACAAATGAAATTCACAGTTCCAAATTAAAACTCGAAGATGAGCAACACAATAAATAAATAAATAAATAAAATAAAAGAAGAAGAAGAAGAAGAAGAAGAAGAAGAAGAAGAAGAGCTATATTACTTGTAATATCAACACAGGTAACTTGAAATTTAATCAACATTTATATCTTAGAAATTTCTGACATGAACCATGAATATCAACAAACGCCATCCAGCACACTCAGCAATTTGGAACACAGAATTCTACTATTTTTTCAGCATAAACGCATTCTTGACTCCAAGAAATCTGGTTTAACTCCAGAAATAGTACACCAATACAGAGGCGAAAAAAAAAAAAAAGACACAAAGCAAAACCATTAAATATCATATCCTCATCGGTTTATGTTTCCGCAGCCACAACACCGGTTCCTACCGAATTCTTCTCGTGATCGCCCTCTAGCTGGCTTAAGTTGCCCTTCTCCTTGATTAGTTGAATATGATGGTGTTTGCAGTAAAGGCGCCCCTCGTGTGCAATGTAGTTTGATGGGCTGATGACGCATCCTCCATGGGTGCATTTGAAACAGCTCTTGTGGTATGCAGTTCCATTCACCGAGACCTGTACACATTTTTTATGTGAGATAATTACTGGTATCGCTCATAATTTCCCCTTTCCTTGCATACCAAACATAATGTGAAATAAATCTTACGACTTATCTAGATGTGAGTTTGAGGATTTAAATCACAGAATAGGTGGATTCGAATTATCCAAATTATTACCTTTTCAGTTGGATAGACAGTATTCTTGCAACCAACACATTTTTCCCTCGTTCCACCAAACATATTTGAAACTTTGTTTGCCAGAGGTTTCTGTTTCAAACATCATGATTGAAGATTGATTATGGATCCATGTACCAAATATTGGCAAGCCTCAAGTACACAAATGCTGAACTTAGATCATTTTGGACTTTTTGATTGGTACATAAATTTAGTTTGTCAACGAGGACTTACCTCAGTGTCAACTGGTTTCTCTGGTTTTGCAATTTTAGGCGTTCCTGAAAACGTTAAGGAGAATGAAGTATTTAGCTCATTAGAGTGCAGTATTAGACATGATTAGACACCATAATGAACAAAATTTTAACTTCTTTCTCTTATTTAATACCCACAATATTGTCCAATTTAACTTACCAATCATACCATAATTATTTGGAGCAAAACTTCATCTATGTCTATCTTTACTATTTATCTTATTTACCTTCAAAGCTTTTGTCAAGGCTGCCAGTTCTTTTGAAGAGTTGATCAAAGTGTGGCCTGCAATATAGAACTCCCTCAAAGGAATTGTAGTTTCCAAGCTGCAATTAAGCCACAGAAGAATATTCTCAAGTTGCAATGATGAAACTGGTATTATCATATTATGAATATTAGGTTAATAGAATACATGAAAC